TCTCTCAGCATAATCTACCTCACAGGGCTGTTGTTATGGGGAAAATAGGAGGAAGAAGCAACGTTAGGTATGTTCACTGCCTTGAGTTCTTTTAAAAATAATAAAGGTGGGGTGGGATAAACACATTCTAAGCTAAGCTAAAAGAAGAATGTATGTTTTTTTCCCCTGTCTGCGACTGCATGTGGGATCCTTTGGGGTAAGTCTATCCTATTTCTACTGCATCATCTTGTCTCAAGTGAAATATACGCATCTCCCTCAACCTCTCTTCACAGGATTTAGCTTTCAGTCCGTTGATCATCACTGCCTTCTTTTGCTTTTGCTCCAATTTGTGAGAAAGTGAAACCTTTGTAAAATGGGGTAACACGAACTGGATACTGTACTTATTCTGGGGTCTAACCAATGCAGAATAGAATGGAATTAAAGGTAGCCCTTGACTTAGGATCATTCACTTAGCAATCTTTCAAAGTTACAGTGGTGTGGAAAAAAATCCAGTCCTCACACTTCTGACCGGTCCTTGCATTTACAACCGTCACACTATCCCTTTAGTGACATGATCACAGTTTGGGTGCTTGGCAGTTGGCTTACATTTATGACTGGTTGCGGTGATCCTCCATGCAATCACATGACCGCATTTGACAATGGTTTTGCTGAAAACTGGCATTTACTTCAGATTTTCAGCAAAACTGGCCCATAGAAACCATTGTTTCACTTAACAACCAGGGCATTTGCTTAATGACCACTGCAATAAAGGACATCAAATTGGGTTGGCCACATAGGTGATCCCATTTATAACTATTACGACTTATGACCATTATGGTCATCATTTGAGGACTACCTGTAAGCTTCCTTTAGTATGACAGAAGACAGGGCAGTAGGTCTAAGAACAACCAGATTTGGTAGCAAACTACTGAATAATCAATTTAAAAATGATGTAGGAAGCTTTAGAAAGGTTTTACAAACAAATGTTGGCAATTGGAATTGGAGCTTGCTCTAACCAAGTTAAAAAACAGTGGCTGCTTTTTGCCACAAAAAGCAATACCGAAAGAAAACTTTGCCCCTGCGTAAATGATTTTTGCCTTCCTTCGAGGAACACACCTATAATTTGAGTCTGAGAACCCTGAGGCTCATTTTGCAAGGTTTGAGTCATGGTTTTTCCCCCCTTAAAAATCTTAATTGCAGCTCTCATTCGTACCTTTCACTTTGTGGGGAAATAAACAGCTTTGCACCCATCCCAAAGGCAGGTGTGCTTCTTCGGGCCTGTTGAAACTGGGACGTGTATTTCGCTTCTAGAGGTTGAGCATCAGAAGTTAGGCTCTTATAAAATAGTTGATCTTGTTATTAGTTGATGCCCGTTAGGACAGACTTTTGTTATGGTTTTTAAAACTTTTGTACTTGAGCCTCTGGAGATAGAAAGAGTAGCTCTATTCACAAATCATAAACTCATCAGTCCCATTTTAGCCTAACATTTTGTCTAGAAACAGTCAGAGATTCGTTTGTGCTTCAGTGAATTCTGTAGGTCTAGAAAACTGGAATAAAGTAAACCAGGTTTAAATTAACCAAGCCTGAATTCCCACTCAACCTGATTGCCAAAACAATTCATTTCCTGCATTTGCATAATTCAAGCTTGGTTTCAAAACACACTAAGCCACAAACAAGCTATCATGTTTAGCCTTAATCACATTTAATCTGCTCCTGAATACATGTTTCTTCCAAGCCAGGTTCAGAATGTTTTATGTGAACACAGCCTAAAAGTGCCATGGAAAACACAATTGGTGGGTGCCTCAGAGCAAATCTGGCTGTTGGATCTTGGAGAGCATCCAGCTTTGGCAAGTCTACAGTAGGTCCAGAACTGAACAGCAATGGCTGCAGGGCAGCTGTGGATCCTCTGATAGGAAATCCTCTGTGGATCCTCTGATCCTCTGATAGGAAAGAATAATTGTAGCTCAAGGTTGAACTGTGGTGTCCTTGGTGCTCTCTGAGCTTGGCTGTTTTCTTCCAGACATTTCAGCACCAAACTAGACAACACCATAACACTAGAAGGGAATGGGGTTTGCTCTCTTTTTGTACACTAGTGGCTTGCCCTATAAGTATTGGTGGAGTGTTGTTGTTGGCTGCTTGTTTAGTCTGTTGTTTATTGTTAGCTTGTTTGTCTGACTTAGTAGTTCCTTGATTGAGATATTGTTCACTTCTTGATTATTTGTCTAGCGCTAATCTTGCTGTTAACCCCTGCTTACCTTGGTGTTGATTGCTGGTGAGATGTTTGGGTCTTTTTGTTTCCTTTTTGGCTTTTTGACTGTCTCTTTTGAATGTAGTATGTAGATGTTGTTTATCTCTATGTGTCTGTTGATGGCTGATTTGTCTGAGGGCCAGTCTTCCTCTGTGATGATCCTCCACTTGAACGCTTGTCAGAATAGTCCTTTGAGGGTATTCTTTAAGGGAAGTCTTACTGGAGCAAATCAAGTTCTTATAATCAATTATAAGGAAGGAAAGTAGGAGCTTTGAAGTTGTCCCTTTGAAATTGCCCTTTTATGGCATGGCTGGCTCAGGAATTCTGGGAGTTGAAGTCCACAAGTCATAATATTTGGTTTTTAATTGGTTTTATGGGGGATGGCGTTTGTGTGTTTTAATATGCTGTAAGCCGCCCTGAGTCCTATAGGGAGAAGGGCGACATATAAGTTTATGTAAATAAATAAAATAAAAATAAATAAATAAAAGGGCCATAGTTTCCCACCCTGATCTATGGTAAGCATGGGAACACAGGAGGAATCTCTCAAATCATCCCCCCTCAAAATAGCTAGGTTTTAATTGCTTTCCTCAACCAGTTGGGTCAAGAGGAATCTCTCAGGGGAGGGATGCCATTCCAGGGGTGTGTGTACAATGGAGAAAGAATCACTTCTGAGAACCCTGTAGATGACATTTGTTAAGAGAGGGAACCCACAAGAAGTCTGCTTTTTCTCAATTTAATCGGGTGGGAGCATATGGTCCCATAGAGGTAATGGTTGAAGCTTGGTCTGTAGCCCCCATTACTTGAATGCTGACAAGGGATAATAGGGGTTATATTCCCAAACCTCCAGTCAGTGTGAGATTTTGGAAGGGTGTTTTAATAGGCATACGGGCATACTCTAAAACATAGCATTTGTTAAAGATTTGTTACAACCAAGCTGCGTTTTATTACCCTGATCAAAATTTATACTCCAAGCTATTTTGCAGTTCATAGTGTCCTTAATCTTCTCCCTGGGGCTTCGTGGGTTTGGCAGATGTAGGGTTGGATGATCTAGTAGAGTAATTGGAGAGGGGAAGATTGACATCTTGGCCCCCAAATGATGGCCTGTGAGGCTCCCTTGATCACTAGGATGAGCTCACTCTTTTCCCTGTGCCCAAAGCAGGAAGCAGCTCTTTGGGGAATGGAACTGTCTTTTCTCTTAGAAAGGAAATGCTTTCAAGAATCTAATGGCTGAAGTCTGTGGCCTTTCGTTTACCGTGAGAATCACAGCAGGCTGCCGAATGTGGAGCCCTTTTTGACTGATACAGAATGTCAGTCTGAAGTCAACTCCCTCCCTCAGAGCTCTAGAATCCTCTAGATACAAATTCCTGGGACCAAGCAAGCTACTTGTATATTCTCACTTGCTCTAAACTGAGGAAATATTTTTTTTAAGGGCTAGATACACTAGCGCAGTGTTTCTCAACCTTGACAATTTTAAGGCATGTGGACTTCAACTCCCAGAATTCCACAGCCAGCATTGCTGGCTGTGGAATTCTGGGAGTTGAAGTCCACATGCCTTAAAATTGTCAAGGTTGAGAAACACTGCGAGGTATGCCCACATTCCTGTATCCCATTGTGGGAATAATCACAGCTTATTGTAAGAGAATAAAACCCATTTTCACTGCCCCAAAGCCATCCATTAGCCAAAAAGGCAAGAAACAAAGTAGCTAAAGATTACTAAAAGTGCACTGGTCCAAAACAAAGAACTGAAACTGATCAACCTGGCAAAGGAAATTAAAAAGACAAAAACCCCATGCCCATACTTTCCTTCACCCACAAAAGGACTAGCAAGACACCTCATACAGGGCAAAGAAAGAAGCCCACAGTTATAGAAAATAACACATAGAATTGCCATCTGGCCATAAAGCACCGGAAGGCAAGACAAGAAACAATGGATGGAAACTAATCAAGGAGAAAAACAACCTAGAACTAAGGAGAAATTTCCTGACAGTGGGAACAATAAACCAGTGGGATGACTTGCCTTCAAAAGTTGTGGATTCACCATTCCTGGGGGCTTTTAAGAAGAGATTAGACAACCATTTGTCTGAAATGGCATAGGGTTTCCTGCCTGAGCAGAGGGTCAGACTGGAAGACCTCCAAGGTCCCTTCCAACTCTGTTATTCTATTATATTAGCATGACTCAGAATTGGAGGAGGAAGTTACCAAGCCCATCTTAGCCTGACATTTGGATTGTGTCATATGTGGTGAAAATGACAATGTGAGTCCTGCTAAAGAGAAGGAAGGGCAGTAGGAATTTTATGAGGAAATTACAACTGGAGAGACAGACAACATTTGGATGTTGGTGTCCTTGACTATTCAAACGGCACCTATGAACGCCCTACTTAGTTTGAATAAGACCCTAAGCCAGTGGTCTTCAAACTTGGCTGCTTTAAGACTTGTGGACTTCAACTCCCAGAATTCCTCAGCCAGCTGGCTGAGGAATTCTGGGAATTGAAGTCCACAAGTCTTAAAGCGGCCAAGTTTGAAGACCCCTGTCCTAAGCATAATTCATGCCCTTAGCCCTTCGTGACTTTGTCTTCTTTGTAATTGAATTGTGGGCTCTAATTAATAATTTTCATTGTCACTTGAATTTCATTTAGTGGTTTCCTGCAGAAAATCACAGAATCAGTACACACACACACACACACACACACACACACACGTTACTGTTGTGGGAGAATGAATTTCAGTTGTATTTCTTAAATTTCTGCTTTCTTCTAACTCTGTGGCTGTTTGCATATTTCTTTCAAACATTTGCTTGGAAGATGCTGAGAATGTGCTCTTGTTATTGTTGTTGATGTGCCTTTAACAAGGAACAGGGTGCTGAAAACAATAATCTCATGTCTGATTGTTTTTTTCTGATCTTCCCTCCACTAATTTCTCTCCCCCCCCCCCAAATCTCAACTTTGTAGGTGGCAAGTGGTATAAACGACACTTGACTTACCGGCTAATCAACTGGCCTTGGTATCTGCCAGAGCAGCAGGTCCGTCTGGCAGTGAAAGCTGCTTTTGAGCTCTGGAGCAACGTCTCTTCCTTGGTTTTTTGGGAAGTAGCAGAAGAGCCTGCAGATATTCGCCTGACGTTCTTCTACGGGGATCACAATGATGGAGTTGAGAACGCCTTTGATGGTCCAGGTGTTGATTTGTTATGTCTTACCTCATAAGAATCCTTTGGTTATAAGAGCATATTGGTCCAGAGTTCTGATTTCATGCATCTTCTGTCATGGGGTTCCTACTGTTTCTGAAGTCACCCCCAACAAGTCAAGAATTTAAAAAGAAATATGTGACCAAGATATTTGAGCTTGGAGAGAGGCAGAGAGAAGGCTGGTAGTGCAGAAGTTAGCTTTGCCCATCCTGATGTGTTTCATATACAGTATGTAGAAAATACTGTTTTCTAGATAATCTGGTTTTGCTGTACACTTCCAAGACTCTCATTTATAGGGGTGTTTGACCAATATTGCAAATAAAATATATTTGCAGTCAAACTGATTGAAGACTTGAAATTCTGATCCTAAGTTTGAGAAGCTTCATAGCTTATGACAGTGGTGGCGAACCTATGGCACGCGTGCCAGAGGCGGCACTCAGAGCCCTCTCTGTGGGCACACACACCGCCGCTGCCAGCAACTTGCGCAGGTCCATTAGGCCGCCGGCCCCCCATGATCAACATCGAAGAGGCCATGCCCCCCCCAGCCACACTCCCCCCAGTCTGCCCACCCAGTGGGCCACGCCTCCATGCCCCCCCCCCGAGGCCACCACAATGCTGATGCGGCCCTGGCACTTTGTGATAAATAAGTGGGTTTTGGGTTGTGGATTGGGCACTCGGTCTCTAAAAGGTTTGCCATCACTGGCTTATGGGATTCTTCTACATGGGATCTGTGCAACCTTCAAAATGAGCTTTGCTCTGGTGTGCAGAACTCCTCCTTCTTCTCTTCATCTTTATTTGGCAACTAAGCAACTATCAAAAATTATCTTAATTTTTAACATCTGCAGTGCTGAAGTCCTACAGCAGATTTTTTTTTTTAAAGAACCCCCCCCCCTTTCTTCCTGGCCTTCAATCACCCCAGCAGTTCTTTTAAGAGGAAAGGTGGCTTGGTGGCTTTTCAATTTCCTCCCCATAGGAATTATTTAGATCCCCCCCCATACAACTCAAAAAAGCACACAGTATCAAAGTAAGAACTTGGCAGCAAGGATGAAAGCCATTTGTTTTATGTCTCTTTTGCATGGAATGAGGATGAAAGCTTTTTGTTTCTCCACTGCAGCAACTTAGGGCCAGGCAGTGGTCCTCCTACTTTCAGCAGTTGGCATTAATAAAGATGATCATAGAAGAAGCATCAGCAGTATGGAATGCTCTGATGGAGGGAGCTGACTGACTTCCATAGCTAAACATAAATACATGTAGTCCTCGACTTATGACCACAACTGAGCCCAAATTTTCTGTCGCTAAGCAAAACAGTTATTGAGTTTTGCCCCATTTTAAAACCTTTCTTGCCACAGTTGTTAAGTGAATTATTGCAGCTGTTAAGTTAGTGACGTGTGGTTGTTAAGTGAATCTGGCTCCCCCCTTGACTTGCTTGTCACAAGGTCACAAAAGGGGTTCACATGACCCTGGGACACCGCAACCATCATAGATATGAGCTAGTTGCCAAGCATCCAAATTTTGATCACATGACCATAGGGATGCTACAGTGGTTGTAAGTGTGAAAAAGGGTCATCAGTCACTTTTTTTAGTGCCACTGTAACTTTGAACGGTCCTTAAACGAATGGTTGTAAGTCAAGGATTACCCATATGTTCAATCTAATCTGGGATCTGATTTCTCCTTCTCTTTCCTTAGGGGGCGCTCTGGCACATGCCTTCTTCCCACGCCGTGGCGAGGCCCATTTTGACAATGCCGAGAGATGGTCCCTGGACAGTGGGAAAGGCCGTAACCTCTTTGTGGTGATGGCCCATGAAATTGGTCATACGCTGGGCCTGGAGCACTCCCCCGTATCCAATGCTCTTATGTCCCCTTACTACAAGAAGCTGGGCAAGGGTTTTGTCCTGAACTGGGATGATGTTCTTGCCATTCAGAATTTATACGGTAAATAGAACTTAATTTCTCAAGAGTAAAACTTTCTCAAGATAAAGTTGGTATGACCATATCTTCAAATAGGTCTCTCTTCTCTGTGACAGCGCCTCACAGAAGAGACTGGACAGCCATTTGTCTGAAATGGTATAGGGTTTCCTGCCTGAGCAGGGGGTTGGACTAGATGACCTCCAAGGTCCCTTCAAACTTTATTACTATTATTATTATTATTACTGGGAGGCTAAAACATACGAAGAACGGGTGCTAGAATTGGGTCTGTCTAGTTTAATGAAGAGAAGGACGAGGGGGGACATGATAGCAGTGTTCCAATATCTCAGGGGTGGCCCCAAAGAAGAAGGAGTCAAGCTATTCTCCAAAGTGCCTAAAGGCAGGACAAGAAGCAATGGATGGAAACTAACCAAAGAGAGAAGCAACCTAGAACTAAGGAGAAACTTCCTGACAGTTAGAACAATTAACCAGTGGAACAACCTGCCTCCAGAAGCAGTGAATGCTCCAACACTGCAAGTTTTTAAGAAGAGACTGGACAGCCATTTGTCCGAAATGGTATAGGGTTTCCTGCCTGAGCAGGGGGTTGGACTAGATGACCTCCAAGATCCCTTCCAACTTATTACTACTACTACTACTACTACTACTATTATTATTATTATTATTATTATTATTATTATTATTATTATTATTATTATTATTATTATTATTTATTGGAAAACTCACCTAGCAGTTTGAATGCATGCAAATGCGAGTAGATTAATAGGTACCACTTTGGTGGGAAGGTAACAGTGTTCCATGCGCCTTTGGAGTATAGTCATGCTGGCCACATCACCAGAGAAAATGTCTTTGGACAATGCTGGCTCCCTTGGCCAAGAAACAGAGAGTCAGACATGACTAGACAGGGAAACCTTTATCTTTACCTTTGCTATTATGTCATCCCTAGTCCTTCTCATAGTTAGACAAGACATACCCAGTTCCTGCAACCGTTCATCGTTATGTTTTAGCCTCCAGTCCCCTAATCACCCTTGTTGTCTACTCTGCATGCTTTCGCAACTTTGGAACCGGTTGGAGTGAATGAGACTCTAAAAAGAGTGCAGAGTGGTCATGTGGCCAGCCTGGCTGTATGCCAGGCACATGGAACACTGTTACCTTCCCACTGAAGTGGTACCTATTAATCTACTTGCATTTGCGTGCTTTCAAATGGCTAGGTGGGTCTTCCAATATTTATGGGGCTGTTGCAGAGAAGACAGGGTCCACCTATTCTCCAAAACACCTGAGGGCAGGACAAGAAGTTACAAATGGAAGTTTATCAATCCAACCTAAAATTAAGGAGAAATTTCCTTTCAGTGAGAACAATTAATCAATGGAATGGGTTTGCCTACAGAAGATATGAGTGGTGGTTTTAAAGAAGAAACTGGACAGCCATTTGTCCTGAATAGTATAGAGTCTTCTACTCAAGCAGGTGAATGGACTAGAAGACCTCCAAGGTCCCTTCCAACTATTATTCTGTAATTTTGGAGTAGAGGAATTGCTTAGCCCTTTCAGAATGACTGCTGCTCCAGTTGAAACTGCTGTTGCAACTTCACTTTCTGCTTTACAGATGTTGCTTTGCCATCTTTCCACCCAACTACCCAATATTCAGGGATGTGTGACTCTTATATAAGGCTGTGCTGCCTGGTCATTATGTTTATGACACTGGGAAGCTAGGAAATTTTAGGAATCAACTTTTTTAATTGCATCATGCCGTTCTTCGGAGAATGTCATAGAATGGATCCCGGTTGATAAAAGGCATCCGTGAAAGAGACCCAAAGCAAGATGGATTGAGAACATCAGCAAGTATTGCAGGCCCAGTTGGCAAAAGAAAGCTCAGGACTTTAGTGGTTAGAAATATACAGAAGAGGCCTTCATCCTGCAGTGGATAGACAATGGCTAAAAATGAATGATGAATGAATGAATTCCTCAAGAGAACCACGGGGAGCTTATAATTTGTCCTTTTCCACCTCTGCTTCCTTTTATTTATGCAGTGAGAAAATGACTGGCCCAAAATTATGCCACTACCCTGCCTGCAGCTCTTGCCCCGTTTCCAGAGATCATTCTCACATACTATTACGGCCACTGACTGATCTTACAGTAGAGTTTTTGTCCTGCAACGATTCTAATAACCACCAGATGGCAGAAAAAAGAGAGCCTTTTTCTTACTTCACAGTTTGGGAGCTCCGCATTGCTGTGACGGAAGGATCTGCCTGCTTATCCCTCTAAGCCAGTGTTTCTCAACCTTGACAATTTTAAGGCATGTGGACTTCAACTCCCAGAATTCCACAGCCAGCAATGCTGGCTGTGGAATTCTGGGAGTTGAAGTCCACATGCCTTAAAATTGTCAAGGTTGAGAAACACTGCGTCTAAGCCTAAAAGGAATGGTAATGTCAAGACCTGCTTTGGTGGCAAAACAGCTACTAGGGATTTTTCAAAGTTTAAATTTGTTTTGGAAAATTTACCTGTGAGGGCTAGAGAACAAACCTAAGTTAGAAAAAGGCAACAGATGTCAATGTAGTTTATTTAAGATGTCCAAATAAAGCTACTTCCATAATATGTTCAAACTGCTGAATTAGAGTGGTTTTTTTTATGAGAAGCAAGGATTCAAGCACTGAGCTAAATTCTTCAAATATATAGGCTCTGTGTAACTATATAAAGATGCTGACTGAACTCTCCTCAAGTAAACACCAACAATACATACAGGTCTTGGTTTGCTTCTGACTGTTGTCTTTTCTTCTCAACAGGAAAACCCTCCCGAGGCCCGATAGTCCAACTTCCAGGAAAATCATTTGCTCGTTTCCAGGATGGGAAGCATTACCTTGAAAATAGGGAACAGAATCAAGAGGCAAATTTCAGGTTCCATTACTGCTTGTCATTTTTTGATGCCTTAACTGTAGGTAAGAATGAACGGACTTGGGTATTGTAGCACCGTTTCTCTAGAAAGATCTATCAGGCATTTTTAAAAGGAATTTTTTAAAAAGAAGTTTGCTATTTAGGTTGACCATTTCTGCTTTAGGAGGTATCAGGAAGTCTTGTATAAAATAATCCTCGACTTACAACTGTAACATCGCCTGCCAATTACAGTCATAAGTCATGACGACTGTAATCATCATTGACTGACCCAATTTTATTGTAGCGATAGTTAAACAAATGTCACGGTCATTGTTCGCTATGGGCGGAAGTATAGGCTAGTTTTTGGTGACAACATAATCAGTTGTAATGAATAGAATAGAATAGAATAGAATAGAATAGAATAGAATAGAATAGAATAGAATAACAGAGTTGGAAGGTACTTTGTAGGTCATTTAGTCCAATCCTCTGCCCAAGCAGGAGACCCTACACCATTTCTGACAGATGGCAGTCCAGTCTCTTCTTGAAACTTCCAGTGATGAAGCTCCCACAACTTGTGTCCAAAATACAGTCATGTGACCCCAGAGAGAGACTCAGCAGCTGGAACTTCAGAACCTGAGTGTAAATATTTTTTGGAGGGGTCTGTTATAATGTCAATTAGTTGCTATGTGACCGGTCATAAGTCAAGGGCTACCTGTGCACAGTCACATATGCCTACTGTAATTAGCTCTACAAAGCCCTGTCCTTGAAGGCTTTTTTGATGTTTCAGCTGGTACAGCTTGCACTTGCTGAAATAGTTATGGCAACATTGAAATTTGTCCATGTAACATCAGTGTTTCAGGTGCTGTATTAGTTACCAATCAGCTTCCAGATACAATTCAAGTTGTAAGTTATCTACAGCTCTGTATGGCTTGGGACCTATGGCTTTGCCTTTTCCAGACTGAATCTGATCATGAATTCCAATCAGAAAGCTTACGAAGGCTTCCTTCTTTGAGAAATGCCACTTATAGGGACTCTGGGGAGATAGGGGCTTTTCAGTGATTATCCCCAATGTATGGAATCACTTATCCCTAGTTATCTGACCCTCTTCCACCTTTCTGGTTTTCTAAAGGACTTTATAGAGATTTGAGTCCTTAGGAAAAAAATGGAGATATGGAGGCTTAGCCAGCCCCTGTGAGTGATTCTGTCACAGCAAGTTGCTAGAAGCATTTTACATGATTAGATGCATTTAGCATTTTTGGTATTTTATAAGCCTCTCAGGATCCAAAGGAATGGAGAACATAGAAGCACAGTAAAAAAGATAAGTGATTTTTACACTTCTCTTGAGTGGTTTTATAGTTTTTCCAGATGAAAAGGCTGCAATACTCTTAATACTGTATTATTGAACGCTAACATGGTTATTATAAAACAATGGTTATTTAACTTTTGATGGATTTTATTTATTCAAACATTTGTTTTTATCTTTTTTCTCTCAGAAGCTCACAATTGCTCTTCACCTTTCATTTTTTTATCTTCACAATACCAGGGGGGAGATTAAATTGAAAACTTCATATTATCTAGTCAGCTGGGTGGGAAAATAAACCTGAATTTCTTCAGCTATGCTTCAGTGTTGATTAGGTTTTGCTATAATCTTGGTTTCATTATAATTATAATTTTGTTGTGTCTTTATTATTATGTTATTGTTACCTTGAAAGCTATTCTGGGGAGATATGGCAAGTTGTACATTTAAATGAAAAATAATAAAATATGGCAGAATTCCAATCAATGCACATTTGTATGGATCAACATATCAGTAATTATTATGTCTTTGATTGAAATATTCAAGGCATTTACATTTTATTTTATATAGATATGGAAGATAATCTGTACATCTTTAAAGGCAAGTATTACTGGATTGTATCCAAAGGAGAGTCTGCTGCTGGTCCATACCTTCTCCAGGCCAAATGGCCAGATCTCCCTTCTGCCATTGATGCTGCAGCCTTCTCAGAGAAAGACAGGAAATTCTACTTTTTTAAAGGTAGTTCATTTGATTGCACATATCAAACCAGATCTTATTTCAGCTGCATAATTGCCCAGAGGCTATAGATAAAATATAATCTTTCAACCTCCACCTTTCCATTTACAATTTGGCTGTAAAAACAATAGCACGGCTTTTCAAATTGTTCTCAGAATTGCTGAGATACAGTGCTTGGAATATTTCAAAAACCATTCTCTACAAATGGAAGTGCTGATTTTTTTAATGACATTGGAGAATCCAAAGGGGCAGTCTGGGTGAGCAATGTGGCATTGCAATCCCCACAGATCAGGATTCAACAAGGCAATCCTTGCAATTGATCCAAATTAAAGTTGTTTTAAACTGTGAGTTGGTTTTAATTTAAACTGATTCCAAAGGGAGATTTAGTACAATACGGTATCTGAGCTATGCCTTGGTAAAGGTGGAAGATGCTGATGATGTTTTAAAAATGGTAGGCATGAGATCAATGAAGATAACATACAGATGGTCCAACTTACGACCACAATGGGACTTCAGTTTCAGTTGCTAGGCAATGCAGTCATTAAGCAAGGTACCACATGACCAAATCTGATTTTTATGGCCATTTTTACTGTGGTTGTTAAGCAAATTACCACAGTTGTTAAGCAAATCACATGGTTATTGTTCTGTCGAACAGTTACTAAGTGAATTATGTGGTTGTTAAGTGAATCCAGCTTCCCCCATTGGCTTTGCTTGTCGGAAGCTGGCTGGGAGTGTCGCAAATCATGATCACATGACTGCGGTATGCCCTAACTGTTGTAAATGTGAATTAGTTGACTAACACTCATTTGCAACCAGTTCACATGACCACATGACCACCAATGTGGTGCAATAGTCATAGCTTTGAGGGTGGGTAAGTTATTTTTCCCAAGGCCATTATAAGTTTGAACTGTCATTAAACAAACAACGGTAAATTGATGACTACCTATATATGACCTTTAACACAAAGCAGAGCTGGCAAATTGATATCATTAATGAGGAAAAGACTTTCACCCTTCGTCATAGTGGCTACATCTAGTGCAGGGGTGTCAAACTGCCAGCCCACAGGCCAGATGCGTCATGCCGAAACCGCGCCCACCCCATTGCTGGCAATGGAAAAAAAGTTGCGATACGTCGCAAGACGCCATGTGACATTGAGAGTTTGACACCCCTGATCTAGTGGATAGGTACATATTCTTCCTCTCTGCTATAGGGGTTGCCCCATCTTTTGGGCATTGCTTTGCTGCAGGGTTTAGTGACCGTAGTCTTGACAGCAGATTTCCTGATGTTTCTCTGGCAACTGTGTCTGGCATTTTCAGAGCCAAAGTGGATTACTCTGCAGACTACAAGTGACTGAGCAGAGACTGACCAGGCTCCTGTCTTTGTAGCCAGGTGACCTGACCTCTGATTGGCTTTAAGTAGGGGCCCAACAGAGCCTAACAGATACAGTAGTACCTTGGTACTCAACTGCTTTGAACCTCATCAAATTTGGCACTCAATGCATTTTGGCGAGAAAATGTTGTCCTGGTAGTTGTGGTTTGGTATTCAAAAGCGCAAGCTGGAACTTGTTGATGTCAGTTGCATCATGACTTGCTACTCTTTCCAGCTGAAACAAAGAGTGACACATTAGTCATGTGATAGCTCGTGCACATCCGCTTGCAGTCTTAGCATCTGTGGTCATTTTGTGTATTTTTGTGCTTTTTATTTCTCGTCAGTACAGGTAAAGTGAAGTTTTTATTTTATTTAATCTAAGTATTTATTAATTTTTAGGTTTATTACTCATGTAAAGTAATGATATACAACCCAATCTTTTTACATATTGCCTTAAAAATGGGCATTGTCTTTGGTTTGGGAATGCATTAAATTTATTTACATTATTTGGTACTCATTGTTTTTGGTAGTCATCGTGCCTCCCGGAACCAATTAACAATGAGTACCGAGGTACTATTGTACTGATCATGAAAGCATACACCAGTATGTTGCCCCATCTTATAGGAAAGTTTTCACAAAAGCCATCTAATTGGCTGACAGACTTGCTGTTTCCTGTCTCAGTCTTCTTAACACACAATGCTACATTAATGTAAGTAGGAAGCCTTGTTGGTTTGCCCTTTGCCTTGTATGATTAAAGGCCTGGAGACTAAAACATGAAGAATCATTGCAGGATTTGGGTTTGGCCAGTCTAGAGAAAAGAAGGACTAGGGGGGACATGATAGCAGTGTTCCAGTATTTGAAAGGCTGCCACAAGGAGGAGGGGGTCAGTTTATTTTCCAAAGCACCAGAAGGCAAGACAAGAAACAATAGATGGAAACAAATCAAGGAGAGAAGCAACCTGGAATTAAGAAGAAACTTCCTAACAGTGAGGACAATAAACCAGTGGAACAGCTTGCCTTCAGAAGTTGTGGGTGCTTCATCACTGGAGGATTTAAGAAGAGGCTGGGCAACCACTTGTCTGAAATGATATAGGATCTCCTGCTTGAGCAGGGGGCAGTTCCCTTCCAGCTCTATTCTGATTGATTGACCTGCATTTAGTTTTTCAATGGGCAGCAACTTTTTTATAGGCCTTTCTCCCTGTGACCTGTTTTCATTCTCCAGTTAGAAAAAAATTCACCAAGTAAGCATTGCTGCCATCTCCTGGTTCTCTGTGAAAAACATGCTTGCCTATTCTACTTTAATTCTGTCTCCGATTTAAAATAGTTCTGAGCTTAGCAGCGATGACCCATTTTTCAGGGTTGAAATGCTGCCAGGAATAATTATATTATTTGAACAGTATTTCATTGTTGCACGCAGAGAAAATTGCCGTATTACTATCAAGATTTCCCCATATGTAGAATATGGGCCCTGCCGTAGCTATCACTCAATTATGAATAACACCCCTGCAGCCCATTTCAGTAAAGGTAACAATTCCCTTGCATTTAAAAAAAAAAGTTGGAAGAGATATCATGAACTTATGATGAGTCCAGCCAGGTTTCTCTCGCTCAGACCAGCTTTCTGTGTAATATCTTGGCTAGCCAGGAGCATTTAAGAAGGTGAGAACGCTCTTGTTACAGGTAGATCTCAACTAATGACCAGTCACTTAGTGACAATTCAAACTTGTGGTGGATCTCCCCAGAGGTACTTATGACCCAGTTTCTAAGTTCTGACAGGGACCTCCCCTTATGGTCATTTAATCACATTTTGGGTGCTTGGCAACTGGCCCATATTTTTCAGCCATTTGCAATGACCCATTTTCATGTGACTGTTTTTTGCCTTTTTTTTTTTTTTTCCCCCCAAAAACCAACTTTTACTTCTGATTTCCTGCAAAAAATGCCCATTGGCTAAAACAGGTTTGTTTAATGATCATGGCATTTGCTTAAAGACTGCTACAAGAAAGGTAATAAAGCCTGTCGCAATCACATCGTGGCCCCCTTGATGACTGTCATAACTTATGGAATTACAATCATAATTCCAGGCTCAAGTGCAGGTGTAAGCTGGGGATTGCCTTTACTGGCTTATGCTATCTCTGGCTCAGAAGTCAGTGTACATCTATCAGCTCAGGCAGTTTCTTTATAACTAGCAATTAGAGCAACAGCAATAGCACTTAGACCAGTGGTTCTCAACCTGTGGGTCGGGACCCCATTTGGGGTCGAACGACCATTTCACGGGGGTCGCCAAGCAAGGCTGTCCGCCATTTTTTTTGTCCGCCATTTTTCCCCCCTTTTCCGGCGGGTCCCTTGGGCTGGGCCAGCTGGTGGTCGGCCTGCTCCGTCTCTGCCACTTGCCAGCTATGCCTCGGCCGGCGCAGGGGGCGGAACCACGCATGCGCGGCGCTCCCGGGCAGGGAAAGTCCTCGACTTACGACCGGTTGGGTAGTCCTCGACTTACGACCGGTTTAGTCCTTGACTTATGACCGGTTTAGTCCTCGACTTACGACCGGTTGGGGTCGCGGCATTAAAAAGGTTGAGAACCACTGACTTAGACTTATATACTGCTTCACAGTGCTTTATAGCCTTCTCTAAGCAGTTACACAGAGGATCCAACAATCTGGGCCCTCATTTTACCAATCTCAGAAGGATGGAAGGTTGAGCCAACTTTGAGCCGGTCAGAATCAAACTCCATACTGTGGGCAGAGTTTGCTTGCAATACTGCACTTAACCACTGCACCACTAGGGCTCCTTGCAATTATGCAAACAATAATGAAAATTCTCTATCAGATTACGTAGTAAAATACTTAGGAATCTCAGCCTGTAAACAAAGTACCAGCCCTTATTGCATAGTAAATGAAAGTGGGCCAGCCTTGTTTGCTGTAATTGCAGAAACCAGAGGGATGGAATTGAATTAGAGTTTCTGGTGCTGGGCTGCAGACCAGCAAAAACAGTAGCTATAGAACAGACATGTCAAACACAAGGCCCGGGGCCGGATGTGGCCCGCAAAGTGGTTTCATGTAGCCCACGAAGCCATCCTGGAAACAGTGAGGGAACGGCCGCCGCTGCCTTGGCCCTGGCCCAGGCCAGCCGGGAGCCAATGTACAATTTTGTGGTGGCCATCTTGGCACTTGCCCCAGTGGACCATGCCTTGGCACTTGCCCCGGTCCCACACCCTTCTGCCAGAGACCCTCAGATCTGTCCCACTCCTGCCCAGGCCCCCACAGGCCCCCTTGACGCGAATGATGTAGACCTGGCCACGCCCACCCAGTAGGCCACACCCACTCCATCCACGCCCACCCAGTAGGCTGCACCCACTCTGGCCACACCCACCCGCCCCCCTAAGGGCAACCGCAATGCTGATGCGGCCCTCAGTGAAATTGAGTTTGACACTCCTGCTATAGAATGCCATTCAAGTATTAGCTCTTCAGAGAAGGAGGAAGCAAGGGGCAGGCAGGGGGCCTTTGTTCCCGCAGCAGGTTTAGAAAGCAGTGGCCCTGGCTTGGGCTTGCTCTCTCCCACCTTAGGCCTTGAGTGACATCCAGGCAGAAGCTACTGTAAAAAAGCATTTGTTGTTGACATCATGAATCCTGTTTTACAGTTCGGGGTATTCTGAGTTTTCTGTGGAAGCATCAAAGGAATTGGGGATCTATCTGGATACTCAGTGAGCTATGCAGCTGCTGCTCTGGCTAGCATGTATCCCACAACAAATCTAACATACTAGGCACACTGTATAAAGTCTCTTGTTTAATGTGCTGTGTTCTTTGGGGTTTGTATTTGCTCTTGAGTTTTTTTGAGTCCCACCAGAGTCTCTTTGTGGAATTGAACACCCATATAGAGGGAGGGAGGGAGGGAGGGAGGGAGGGAGGGAGGGAGGAAGGAAGGAAGGAAGGAAGGAAGGAAGGAAGGCGATATTTATACAACATTCTTAAGCTGGTTAGTTACAGATCAAATGACTTCATTCACATAACATGCTAAGCACAACTGGTTATTTATGGGTGACTTACCAAAAAATACATAAAAATCATACTAACAAGACCAAAGTCAAACAGAATACAATTAAGAATATTCATCATACTATAACTCAATACAACAGGCATATTGTCCTGGCCCAATGCTGATGAAAAAGAGAGGGGTTTGTGGACTTCTGAAAAACAAATAGGATCAGGGCCATCTGGATGTTGAGGCTGTTCCAAAAGTCAGGTCTTGTGACAAGGAAATCATGTCTTCTGAATTCTATAGGATGACATTGTTTCAGAGAAGGCATCTGGTGCATGCCAAGCCTGCACGATCATACAGATATGAATGTACGTTTTCTTAAGTAACTGTGGTTCTCAACTACAGGTATGGCTTTATGATTTAGGAGCCGTGTTGGTGCAATGGTTACAATGCAGTAATGCAGGCTAACTCTGCCCACTGCCAGGAGTTTGATCCTGACCAGCTGAAGATTAACTCAGATTTCTATTCCTTCTGAGGTTGGTAAAATGGAGACCCAGATTATTGGGGGAAACTGCTCAGAGAGTGCTGTAAAGCATTATGGAGCAGTATATAAGTTTTATTGCTATTTAATAATTGACAGGCTTTGTTTCCTTACAACTTTCTTTCCTCTGTTACTTTCCACAGGTGGCCGATGCTGGCGCTACAAAGGATCTTTCCTAGAAGTTGGTTTTCCCCAAAAGTGCAGCCTTACTGGTGATCTCCCACGTCACCCTGACACTGCCCTGTTCTTCCAGCCACTCCGTCAGCTGGTGCTTTTTAAAGGACCTAAGTATTATGTAGTCAATGAGGAGACCCTCCAAGTGGAACCTTATTATCCCCGAAGCTTGAAAGACTGGGGAGGGGTTCCAACTTTGGCAAATGGAGCTCTCACACATCGGGATGGCTTTGTATACTTCTTTCGAAATGACCAGTTCTGGAAATTCAACCCAGAGAAGCTAGAAATCGTAGAAACTGGAAAATGGGCTGTTCAGCTGAGGTGGCTAGGCTGTCAGGATGTCAGTCTAAATCAAGCTGGGGCCTGATCTTTCTGTTTATCTCTGGATTTGTCACTCGTTTTGCCAGCAAAATCTCCAGAAGGCTAGAACTTCTTAAACTATTTACTCTGCGTTCAGCAGCATTCCAAGTTTGCTTTTAATCTGGTCCCAAAGAGATTACAAAAAACCAAAAGCAGTACACAAGGCCTGAGCCAAAATTGTATTTTCTGGAAGAAAAAAAATGCAAACTCTCCGGAAGCAAAAGAGTTTGATGTGAGGAACCATCAATCAAGATTTGCACCATCAATGTTAATTTATTGTGAAGTGGGTGAGACACGCCGGTCCTTGATTTGCAGTGAGTGTAAGACACTAAATTGATGTTGTGCCTTCTAGTCAGTCAGAGGCATTCTAGAAAGGAAGATGGAAGATAAGCGTAATTCTCCACCGGCAGTTGGCTGCACCTTCATATAGAAACGGGTCTTCTTCTTACAACTATCAGTTTAACTTGAAGTCTTCTGTATTTATCATCCAGAAGTGACTGCCATGGAGAATGCAAAACCAGAAGGTCTTTTCAGCAGTAAATTTTCCTCTACAACTGAGCCTCAAATACCGGTGCCTAATCATGTTCTGTCTGCCTTCGGAGTTTGTTCCATTTGATACATCTTCAGTATGGCGCTGAGCGTGTTCCAAATTACTACCTCTCCTTCCTGTTAGAAAATGTAATTTCTATATGGTGCTTTTAGTTTCTCTTTTACACAGGTAACCATTTTGTAGGATTTTGATGTTATAGTATAGCAATCCTGTATTCTTTTTCCACGTATATAGTTTCACTGCAACATTTGTATAAAGAAAAAAATATGGGACAATGGTACACTCAGAAAGGACTCCACACCGTCCCAACAGATTGAGGAATGAATCTGAGGCTTCCCTTTGGATACCCAAGTCTCCTTTGAGTGCATTAAATTGCTAGAGGATTATTTTTTTACCTAATATCTGCCAAGTCTTCTAAAAATATTGATATTATTTCTGTCAGGCATGAAGAATCAGGATCAGATATAAGTTCCAGTTCAAAAGATTTATTGCTCAAGCCTATACACAAGAATCTAGTCAATTAATGGTCAGCACTAAATTGGCGCTATTGTAGATAAGAGTTAATGGAATTCAAGAGGAGCTGGACCTGGAGTATTTATGGACACATAATGATTCTAGGCTGAGTCCTCTCTTGATTCTGTCCCCAGACTCTGCCAGCTTTTCTCCTACAATTTTCAGTAGACCTGCAGTTCCGAGATAATTTTTCTCAAACTGATATATTTGAAAGATGCTGCTATTTTTAATAGCTGTCCCTATTTAGAGGTTTGGAATATTCTTACATCATTGTTCCCAAGAACATATAGAGAGACATTCTGATTCAACAGATATGAAATTCATCTTGACTAACATCTGATTTCCCACATTGAAGCCAATAGGCAGAATCCCCTTATGTTCCCAGCGATTGTGACTGAGATGGTTATGTTTTCAAGCTTTGGTGATACCAGTGGCATGTAAATTGTCTTCTACAATGCTTAGACAAGCTGCTCTGGCACTTAGAACTTGGTTGTTCTGGAGGGCTGAGCTCAGATAGTATTATACTCTATCAAGCAACCATGTCAGCAACTCACGGCAAAAGCTGGGCAGTTATAAAACACGTTTCTGAAATACCGATTGGCCATAACAGCCAAGCCACTTCACAGCTATAAAATGAAACCTCACCAGTATTTCTTCAGCTACAAAATCTTTGTATGCCAGGCAGATCTGGTTATTACGATAGTTGCCAAATTGAATGCAGATGTGGTGGAATGTATTCTGGATTCCCAGGAGGGAGGGGCTGCACTCCAGAGGGCAAAGATGCACTGAAGCATAGAAGATTTGGGTGGGAGAAAGATAGCTAAGAAGGCTCCTCCCTAATGATTCCCAGAGTATATCTATAGTGATGCAAATAGTTGCTTTAGTTTGGCAAGATTTAGGTCTAGAGGTGAGGAAAAATAAAGGAAATTAGTCAGAAGTAATTCCATATGTTTTTCTTGGGGCCTGACAGGTGAGGAATTATGTCTGATGCTTTGGAGATTGACTGGTGGCATCTTATGTGAACATGGCCATTGTGTCCTTATTTTTGCAATATTTTATAATGGTAACAAAAATCATTTTCTTCTGTTGATGATCAACGGAATGATGATCAGATGACTACTGATAAATTGTTTTCATCTTTTATTTCTTGTTGCACTATGACATTTGGTCTCTTTTTCCTTGCCAGAGGAATGTAAAAAGGAGTTGTTCATTCTTTGTCCTTCTTCATGTTGCAACATGCCAATGTTGACTTTTGTCAGTCCCATACTGACAAACTGCTTAGAAGGCAGCAGCCTGTTTCCCAGGATTAGACATTTGTTTACCAGTTAAAAGGCATGCACAATGCATACATATACATTGAGCAATTTTGCACTGGTTGGCAAAGCTGGAAGAGGACAGATAGTCATTTCTGAACAGCCAAAATGGCAAAGGCATACTTTGCAATGGATCCTGAATGGTAAAAATGTTCAGCTAGAAGACTGACAGCTATCAATGTTGTTTCACCTGCTCCGTCACTTACATTTCTTTGCTACCTGTCACTGAGCAAAGAGCTCTTTGTTAGAATTGTTTCCTTTTGTTTGAATTAATATATCTTCTGATTCTCAGAAACCATGGATTTCAGAGTTAAGGACTTTATAACTATGTTTTCACAACATGCTAAGCCTAACTTTTGGATTAACAAACTACTGGAGATGGGCAAAACACTATCCGTTTCTCACTGAAAACAGCCGGTCTCTGTATTCCCAGGGCTGGTTCAGTTTTTTCCCAGAAGTGGATTGTCCAGAACAGGAAGTAAAAGTTTTAAAATAATTTGGGTCAAGATACCACAAACCATTTCCTGCTCCTCCATTTCCAGAAATGCATGAATTAGTCCTGGAACACCTGGATTGACTCACTCTGAGTGAAAATGGCCAATCATCCATATACGGAACACACAGTTGCTGTGCATAGAACACACACGCTATCCAAACAAATCATATTGTTGTTTAACATAATAGCATGGCTCATATTATGCCAAGATGACACACTGAACCACTGTATCAGACCAGGGAAAGGAAATCCTCCAGGCAGTTTAGCACACCTGCAAATCTCAGGGAGGCCATTCACTATTTGTGCAGGGCAGATGGAATGGCCTTGAAGAGCTGCCACCAAGGCAACAGTCAGATAAACGGGGCTTGAGCCCAGACCAATAAAATAACCTGAGAAACTGCCTCCCTCCCTAGTTCAAATAAAAATAAAGTGAGGGAGGGGGAAGCACATTCAGGCCTGCAAGATTCTGTTACTATAGCTGTTCAATAAAAT